AATTTACATAGAAAACCAAAGTAAATAATTTATCATAAATGCGTTGCAATGAAACAGATAATTAAGTGAAGCAAAAATTTAAATTTCAGAATGTAAGAAAAATGGCGAAAAAAACTTTGGATTTTTTAAAATTTTGAATATTTAAATTAAAGAATAAATGTGAATCAAAATTTTTTGAAAATTTTCATTATTAAAATCGAATTAAATTCACAATCAAATCCTATGTTTAGCTTTTAAAATTATCATTGATGCAATTAAGAAATATTATAAATAAAGCATAATGTCCTTAGCTTATAAAAAGGTCAAGTTTAAAGTTTAAATTCTTACTAAAATGTGAACAAAAGGATGACCTATCTTAGCATCATTCTTTATTTAACTCAAACTTTTCAGTTTTGGGATGACCTATCTTAGTATCATTCTTTATTTAACTCAAACTTTTTAGTTTTGCTATGTATATATGTGTGGAAAAAAAAAATGTTATACAATAGGTTAATTAATTCGATTGAATAATAAATTATTTGAAAATTTTTCAAAAAATTAAAAATTGACCAAACAAAGAAACAAACGAAAGTTTAACATTTAAATATCATTCGAAAATTGAAATTATAATAAAAAATGGTACTTTGTTAAAGAAAAGAAAAAGTAAAAAAATTCAATTTTCACAGTTTAAATTTTATAATTTTTGCAGAAAAAGTAGAGATAATCAAAATATTCAACCAACAACAAATACCTTAGGTAAATTTGATTCAAATTTTATAAATAAGATATTAAAATCAAATTTATCCATATTTTACCCATTGTATTTGTTATTGTGTATTATTCATTTATTGTTAATGAAAATAATTTGTGTGAAATTTGTTTAAATTTTTAAGTGAAAAAAGAGGGAGGATATAATTAATTAGTTAAATATTTATAGGATTACCATTATTGAAACAAGCAAATGCTGATGTTCTCTTTCATGTGCTAGCGGATGAGCCAAAAAGTAACGAACAAGATACTCAACATGTTAGGTAAATTAAAAATGAACATTTTTTTTAAATTGAAATGATTTAAAATTTTAAGAAAGGAAAAAGAAATGCATTGAAAAATTTCAATTTTATAATTTAAAAAAGAAAAAAGAAAACAAAATGAGAAAAAATAATCTTATCAAATGATGTTGTTGATAACAATTAATAATAATACATAAATAAATAAATAATGGAAATGAAAGAAGAATGTATTCAAATAAAATAAATTTGTAAAAATGTTTAATTATTAAAAATTGTTTTTACATGAAAAATTTTTTGTAAATATAAAAATTTGAAAATAAAAATTAAATAATGCTAATTTCATTTCATTAAAATTAGTAAGAGGAAAAATATATAAATAATGAATGATATTTGAGGGAAGAGATGTCATTATTGGGTGTATTGCATAATTATAATCGAGGTAATTACAAATTAAATCCTGTAATTGTACAAGAAGATGATTATAATGTATATTACGGTGGAATAAGTAATGGTTTATTATGGCCTGCATTACATAATTTGGAAGAATATATTGTCAAAGAATATGATGAGCCAAAGGTAATAAAACTATACCTGGATAAATGTTTGTATATTAAATTTTAAAGTAATCGTTTATTTCTGTAATTAATTCACATGATTAATATTGCAAATATTTATAGATTAAGCGTAATAAATCATTAAATTTTATTAAATTATATTTCAGTAGATGAAAAATTTGAGAACAGAATAAATTGGAAATTATTTTATTTTGAATTTGAAATAAAAAATGAAAAATTTTTTTAAGGTAATACGTGAACATTGGTATGCATATGTTCGAGTAAATTATCAATTTGCTATTGATGCTGTTCGAAATAGTCGACCACAGGTATTTTTACTTAATAAAGCATAAATTTAAAAAAATGGAATTAAACAATAATTGAATTAAACTTAATCAAATTAATTTGAGCTAAATAGTTAATATTCATTGTATTTTGTTTAACATTGGGAAAGAATTTTCGGATGTAATTTACTCATTTAGCATTTATTTTTTCCAATTTAATTTGTTTAATTTTTTAATAAATTATTTTTTATCAAAAACATAACGCACTTTTTTGCTATTTAGCAGTGCTATATGCAAGTGATTTTTTTTTATAATTTGTATATCAAAATGAAAAATTTTTGTATTCTTGAAAGTATCTTACGCAATTTAACACAAAATTGCAAATTTTTTTACTCCAATCTTAAATTTGAATAATTAAAATCGATAATTAGATGAATGAAAACAATATTAGCATAACGAGATCATTAAGAATTACAAAATATAAATTAATGCATAAATTTAATTCCATTTCGAAAAGACTAATCTGGAAATTAAAAAAAAATTAAAAAATGTCATCGTATCGTCTCCAAGATTTTATATGTACATCCTTTAAGGATTATTGATTTTTATGATTACAAGAATTAGCATCTTTGTTTAGCTCATGCTAATAAAGCATTCTTTGTTAGCGTACATTGGTAAAGCTTTTTGTTAGCATACATTACTGCAGTCGAACTCTTAACGTATATCGCTTAAGAATAAGCACATATATAAATTCTATGCAATGATTAGCTCCCATAAAGAGGATTAGATGATTTTTAAAATCTTAATCACGATTAAATATGATATATGCAAATTAGTTCATTTATGATTTTCTTTGTCACGGAAATTTTAATTTTAATTTTCCTTTTAATTTTCTTTTTTTAATTTTTAAATTTGTCACGGAAATTCATATTTACATGTGACATATTCAACGATCAAAAA